CAACTGGAGGTTGATACGTGTGTGTGTGTGTGTGTTTAACTGAATACTAATATAATTTGATCAAAGGTAGCCTGTTCATGTCACTCACCATCACACACACACACACACACACAAACACAGACAGAGTCATAGTAGCTCTGTCAGCAGCCACTTGTTTTTTTTTTATCTATATGTCTATCTGTCTGTCTAGATAAAGTTTCTTCATTTACCGCCACAAGTCTTTTTGTCCAGTAGCTGGTAGCCAGTGGGGCACTGGCACTCAAAGCCGATCGGTCGGTCCATGCAGACATGGGAGCAGCCGCCGTTGTTGATCATACACTCATTAAGCCCTGGGAGACAAAGAAAAGAAGCCAGTGGTCAAATGCAGCCAATCACAGAAGAGTTAGGAATGTTATAGTTGCCCAGTAGGTCAATTATAAGATCAGAATACGATTTAGAAAAAAGTCTCAGCTTCATTCACCATAACATATTTTTGTAAGAGCAGTGAGATTTGATACAAGTGTATAAATATGTCTGGTACATAGGTGTGGAAAATGGATATCATCTTCATAATCTTCGTTTTTTCTCAACACTTGTACTCAGCTCTTTTCCATCCTTTCTGAATCCTTATCAGATGTTCTCAAAAGTGAAGAAAGGAATCAAAGAGACACAACATCACACCCGGTAAGCTCTTAAACCGAGATTCAGGTCCATCTGCACGGATATGAAATATGTGTGTAGAGGGGATTAATGCTGTGAACTGGGATTCTGAGACGTCCCATAAGGATCTATCACAGGAGTGAGTGAAGACATCTAAATTAAACAGGCACACTGCTTAAATAGAGGCAGAGTGATGTAAATGCATCCGGAGAATGAAAGAAGCAGAAAAAAAAACCAAGATATAAAAACACAACCACTCTCATTTAAAACTAGGTCAATGCAGCTGCCAATAGGTTGGCAGTTAGATTTGTGCTGCACACAGTGGCTTTATGAATTACTTGACAGCATAAAGGGCTCAAAAGTCACCGGCTGAAATTTTACGGTCAGTTATTTTTTGTTACCTCACATATTTGTTCAAAACAGCCGAGAAAGAAAACGTACCATCTAGAAACTGCATACGCAAGCTTACACATACAGTAGAACTTTTGTGTTATTTCTCTGTTGCGATGACATAGTAGTGGCAGCTCTTCAGCACACTTTACTTTCCATGTTTGGTCCGAAAACAAAAATGAAAACAGTTGTTTGAATGAATTACAGAAGGTAAAGCCAACTGAGTGAAATATACAATCACCAGACTATAATTCTCTTCAACATTTCATTCAACAGTGCACAGGCTTTGCTTTTTACACAAACAATTGAGCATGGCTGCACAATCAACAACTGGAAAGGGATGATAAAGGAAAAAATTGTTAAACTGCAAAGAAACCCCACTCCTCAATATGAGAGTGCTTAATTCTGTCAACAGCATCCTACCCAATCTAGTGGAACACATTTGTCAATAGCCAATGAGCTGTATTTCATCAGTCACTGAAAGTGTGTGTGCGAAACGTGTGTGTTAGTAACTGCAAACTACCACTACCACGTATGTGTATATAATGCCTCTTTTTATTTTCTTTATTTCATCTTCTTCTTCTGTATTTATTTATATTTTTCTCATACTAAGTTTATTGTTATGCACCAATATACCAAGCAAAATTCCTCGTATGTGAAAACCTACTTGGCAATAAATGATTCTGATTCTCGTTGGTTCCGAAGTGAAGCGTTATTTGTTGAATATATAAGCAACATATATTTTTATAAATACGTATTTGCTTTCTTGCTGGGAGTTAAGCTGGTTGCCTGAAAACCTCATGGCAACGACAAGATACTACGCCTGGCAGAGAAGTATTCTAGCAAATAACTCCCCACAACAACATGTCTTTCTTATTGTTGTATGGATTAAACAAACCAGATATAACATGTTAATTATTGAGCTTTAGAGGAGCTGGAAGGTGGATTTTGTTACCTTGTGACTGAGCCAAGCTAGCTATTGCTAGCCTCTGTGCTAAGCTAAGCTAACCAACTGCTGGCTCCAACTTCATATTTATCGTACAGACATGAGAGTGGTATAAATTTTCTCATCTAACTCCTTGCATTAAAGCTGTATTTACTCAACAAAAGAAACTGACGAGGCATGTGTGTGACAGCTGCCATGTAGCTTGCAATGCTACACAAGACCCTGTTGGCAAGTGCTGTATAATAATGTTGTTACACACTACACAGGCACAAAAAGCATTAATGCAAAAGAAATTCTCTGAATGCTTTGTTTCTCTACAATTGCAGGGAAGTTATGCTGATGCCATTTCTTGTGCCTAGAAATAAAATGCAGACCTGGGAATTGTGGTCCACATTCACCCAACAACACAACACAAAGTTAGACCCACTAACAGCAATACACTGACTACAGGGATCCAATATAACCTGTTCATCTCATCCATGGGGCTTTAAGGAAAGTAATTTTTTTGCACAAATGTATTCTTTATTTATTAAAATAAAAATAAAGAAAGAGAAAGTTGACTCTCTAAAGACTGACTGAAGGTTACTTTTGTGGGAAAATGTTCAAATTTGCTTTGTGTAAGTGCCAGCAGGCTCTGAGCGCTGCAACTGCCAGCATTAAATTCCCATCTCTAATTCAGCTGGATGGGTGACAGCAATCTGCCACTCACAGAAGCTCCCGTTAACTCCCTTCATGTCAGTTCAGAATTAACTGCAGACAGAAGAAAGACTGTGATGTAGCTGTATTTGAGGACTCACTCACTCCTGTTTCTTTGAGAGGGGCTGGGTGGGTAACAAAGATGCCCCAGGAGAGGCCCTGCATGACAACAGCTTTTTCCAGGCCGCTTCCAAGGACAAGTATGATTTAGAGGTCACTTCCCCCTTCCCATGGGCAAACCAGCATGTCATCTCTCCTTCTCTTCCCCACCTCCGTCTCTTTTTCTCTATCTCTCACCATGGTAACCCATTATGTACTACCTATTTTCAGCCGTTCCTCTTAGAGAAAGCTGGATGTGATGGTGCAGTGTCAAGAAATGAATGGTCTGCCAAGTAATGAGTCAGTACTGTGGTAATATGCCATTATTTCTAATGAGATGGGAAACACAGAAAAACATTTGCTTGCGTACAGAGAGAAAAGCATTGTCTTTATTTTCCCCTGATGTAAGGCTGATGCTGCAAATGCAATCACACTGAGCATCTACGTACAAGTGTGTTTCAAAGCAGCGGCTAGTATTATTGTCTTTCTGTGTGTATTTTTGTGTGTGTGTGTTTTGGTTGAAGCACCTTGAAGCCCTCCTATAACTCAAGAGGCTGTGTGTTGTCTGTGTTTGTGTTTACTGTCTCAGCTGTAACTACAGATGTTTGTCAGTCCAGTCATGGTGACCAAAAAAAGACTGAAGGAGAGAGAGAGAGAGGGAGGGAGAGATAGGACTCAGGCAGACCAAACAAACACCTTGGTTCTGCACTCATAGACCAGGAAGTAGCAGGTGGATTACAGTATGATCAGCAAATATGATCTATCTTCCTGCGTGTGTGTGTATGTTTCAAAATGTATTTCTGTTGGGCATTACTTGAACCCTGATTAGTTTTTGGTATTGTTTTTTTTATGTAAAAACTCTTGTTTGAGGAGTGACTCTTATTATTGCTGAAACATTCACTGCCATAATATGGAAACATGTAATACAACATGAATTAAAAGATAGTTTTTTACTTTTTCAGTTTTGTGTCTTTTTGTGTAGAGGCGATATTTGACTCAAGTTTGCTTTAGAGCTTGGTCGCAGGTGGGTGCAGACACTGGCTTAACACATTGACCATTATTGTGAACACAGCATTTGGATGGAGATTTGTGGTGGAAGCTAATGGGCTTTTTCCTGTCTTGCACAAGCTAGAGTTAACAAAATAGAGAGTTTGCCTTCATAATGATAGTGTCATAATGTTAATCCATTCATTCCCCATTCCATGACGAGTAAAAATGAGAAAAACCTAAAGACAATGAACTAGTACAGGCTGGTTATTTTGTCTCCCCTTCATCGCAATGCATTATACAATTAGTTAAATATATTCAGACGTGGGAAAAGTATTATAAACAATAATAATAAAATTCAACATTACAGGAGACTTGAATAAAACAAGGTTATGAGCCTAGCTAGCAGGCCCAAAACAAAAACAGCTGGTGGGGATGTCATCTGCAAGTATTAGGTCATAAACCAAAGCATTGGACACAGTAAAACTTTGACCTGATGGTGGCACTAGACACGAAGTTTAGGGAACACTGAAGAGAATATGCCATTCATCCTGAGAGGAATGTGAAAGCCTGTACCAAATTTAACGGCAGTCCTTATAATGGTTACTGAAAACCTAAAATGGGAACCTCATGTTAAGGCTGGAGGTAAAGTCGGGATCACTAAAGTCATTAGGATTCCTCATCTGTGAACCATTAATGTCTGTACACATATTCATGGCAATTCATTAACCAGTTGCTGAGATATTGCCATCCAATAGCTGGCATGACTTGTCTTGTTATAAGACCTAGGAAACGTAAGGAAGTTTAATTTTTAAATAAAACACTTGAATATAAATTTATTCAGCACAAAATGAAATCTGGTTTGGTATCCAATGGATATAGAAGTTTACATGTGTCAAAAACACTTAATACTCAGTCCATTCATACTAGATCAGTGCTTCTTTAAGGCCGTAGGACATCGTGATGTGTGTCACGCCACACATTCATTCATGACATTGCACAAAGAGGAAATTCAACCTTAAGTCCTGTAAACAAAAAAAACAAGCTTCATTCATAATACTGAACATCTCAAATCTTGTCTAGTGGCATTTTTGATACTAATTTCTAACTAAAAGACCAGTTTCCAAGTTTCAT